TATTCTATTCTATTCTATTCTATTCTATTCTATTCTATTCTATTCTATTCTACTACTTTACTGGTAAAGTAACAGCATTCCAGGTGCTTTGACATATAGTCATGCTGGCCACATGACCATGGAAATATCTTCAGACTATTCTGGCTTCCTCAACTAAGAAATGGAGATGATTCCTTAGAGTCAATGACTGGATTGGGGAAATCTTTACCTTTATCTTTACCTTTGTCTTGGTCTTCTGTGTGATCACTTGCCATTAGTGTTAGACCGTACAGGTGTGGGAATAGGGTGCTGCTTGTAGGAAATGACAATACAATTGTAAGTAGTATTTATTAAACACATCTATATGATCCCCCAGCTCATACAAGGTGACTCTGTATGGCCTATTCCATTAATATTTCACAATATACACCCAACCCCGCTCAACACCATCTCCATTGAAGCAGCAAGCACAATCACACCAGCCACTTGAATGGCTCGCATGTCAACCTTTGATCCCTAGACCAGTGGTCCCCAACCTTTTTTGTACCAGGGACCAGTTTCAAGCACAAACACTTTTTCAAGGACCGGGGGAGGGGGGAGAATCCGAGTTTGGTGGTTTGCTTGCAGACGTTTCATTACCTGACTAGGTAACATCTGATGTTGTTACCTAGTCAGGTAATAAAACATCTGCCAGCAAACCACCAAGTTCAGGGAGCGCCTCGGCCCTGCCTCCCTCAGCCCCATCCCTCAGGTGTCTCCCTCCCTCCCTCAGGTGTCTGCCTCGTTCCTCTCTCAGTCGCTCTCTCGCTGCTCCACCAGCCCAGGAAGAAACTGCTTCAAAGAAGCCGGGGGTGTGTGTGGCTTTTCCTGTCTCCGCAGCTCCTCCGAAGCGCCCGTTTACCCCCACCCCGCCGCACGCACGCGGTTCAATTCAGTACTCCATTCTGCCTGCCTGCCTGTCTGGTTGTTTGGGAGCAGCTTCGGCTGAGAATAATAACTATTCGCCTCTTTTTATCAGCCGAAGCTGCTCCGAAACGAAGAAGGCAGGCAGGCAGGCAGAACGGAGCACTGGATTGAACCGCGGGCGGGCGGTGGGGTGGGGGTAAACGGGCGCTTCG